ACATGTCAAGGATGGGCTGGGGATGTGTTGGGGACACACTGGGGACATGGTGGCGACATGTCAGAGATGAGTTGGGGACCTAATGAGGACATGATGGGAACCCTTTGGGGACCACCCTAGGAGTCACGGCAGTGACTCCTAGGGTCATGGCAGTGACACACTGTTTGGGGACAGTTTGGGGACAGGATGTGAATACATTGGGGACACAGCAAAGATGCAGTGGGAGATGTGATGGGGGACGTGTTGGGGCTGCACGGGGACACGTGTGATTCGTCCCCTTTCCCCCAGGTGGTGCCAGTGGCAGCACGGCTGCTGCTGGAGCTGTTCTCAGGGGAGCTGTCGTGGTCGGCTGACAGCATCCCGCTGCAGATCTCGCAGCCCGACCTGAAGGATGCCCTGGTGGAGCAGTTCAAGGAGCTGCACCGCCTGTGGCAGCAGCAGCAGCGCCCGGATCCCGGCCCGCGGCCCCCGCTGTGACATGGGGATGGGGAGAAAATGGGGTGTGTGGTCCTTCCTGGGGGGGGGGGGAGGAGGCTTTGGGGGCATCCTTGCTGGTATGGAGATGGTGGAGCTCTGGGGACAGTTGGAGAACCGCATCTGGAGCATCACCAGACCTAGAACACTGCTGTAATCAGAGTGCTGAGGCTCCTGGAGCACATCTGGAACGCATCTGGAGCACCACCAGACCTGGGACATGGCCAGGACTATGGCTGCTCCTGGAGCACACCTGTAAAACCACATCTGGAGCGCCGCCTGACCTACGACGCTGCTGTGCCCAGAGCGCTGCCTCTTCTGGAGCACATCTGGAACACAGCTGGAGCACCACCACACCTACAACACAGCCATACCTGACTGCTGCTGCTCCAGGAGCACCTCTGGAACACACATCTGGAGCACCACCTGACCCACAACATCTCCTTAACCTGGATCTTCGCTGCTCCTGGAGCACCGTGTATATTAAAAAAAAAAATCAAAAATAAAAACAAATCACACCTGGAGCACATCTGGAGCCCCACCATCCGTAGAACGTCACCATACCGGCACCACAGCTGCTCCTGGAGCGCCACACCTGCAACACAACACCTGGAGCACATCTGGAGCCCCGCCACCCATAGAACACCGCCATACTGGGACGCCTGGATCACATCTGGAACACACATCTGGAGCCGCCCCACCTCAACCCTCCCTCCCCCCTCAAGAAGCAGACAGGAACCACCATGGGGCTGGTTGTTTTTTTTTTGTTTGTTTTTTTTGTTTTGTTTTCTTTTTTTAACCTATTTTTTTTTCTTTTTTTTCCATTTTTTGCATCTTTTTTTTTAATTTTTTTTTAATTTTTTTTTTTTTTTTTTTTTTTTTTTTTTTTTTGT